CAGTTGCAACCACCTTCCTCCCCAGGCCCAGTTATCCCTACCCCTTGACAATCTCTGATCTGTTTTCCACCTTGACAATTTTGTCATTTTGAAAATGTTGTATAAATGAAATCATACAGTATGTGAATTTTTTTTTGTAATTTTTTATTTTTGAGTTGGAGTCTCACTCTGTCGCCCAGACTGGAGTGCGGTGGCTGCTCCCGGCCACCACAGCCTCGACCTGCTAGGCTCCTGCAATCCTTCCGCCTCAGCCTTCCAAGTAGCCAGAATTACAGGCATGTACTACCACGCCCGGCTGATTTTTTGATTTATTGTAGAGATGAGGTCTCACCGCCCAGGCGGGTCTTGAACCTGCGGGCTCAGGTAATCCACTCACCTCAGCCTCCCAAAGGCGTGGCATTACAGGCTGAGCTACTGAGCCCGGCTAGTATGTGATCTTTTAAGATTGGCTTTTTTCACTCAGCATTGAGATTCATCCAGGTTGTAGCATGTATCAATAGTGTTCTTTATTTCTGGGTAGTATTACAGGGTATGGATATACCCCAGTTTGTTTAACCATTAACCTATTGAAAGGCATTTTGATTGATTCAAAGGATTCTTTTAAGGTTCTGGCAATCACATACACCATGTGATTCAGCACGCAGTAACAAGCACTGTACACCTCATTTACCTCTATATTTGATTCTCTTAGCTAGGTAGTTGTTTCCTTCAAAGCTCCCAAGTTAACATGATTCAGAATGTGGTCCATCTATATCCAAGTGTTGAACTACACTATTACATTATATCTGTCACTACTTTAACTTCATTGAACTCCTTAAAACTCACTGATTTAAACCAAAGGCTGTCGATCCTTTAGGGACCAGTTACTTTGCAGGTTAGCACTGACATATCTCTAGTTATGGTGATGATTGAATTAGTAGTCTTAATACTTGCAGAGTTAGAGACTCAAATTCAAGTCTTAATGTTACTACTTACCACCGGTGGTCTTAGAGAAGTCACTTAACCTCAACCCTTCATTTTCTCATTTGTGAAATTAAAATAGTATCTGTCCTTTCTCACAGAGTTACTGTGAGGAGCACATAAGAGGACATAGGAAAGCATCATACAAATGTTGCTGTAAATGTTCATAAAAATAGATTATCCTTCACTAGTGTTTTAGAAAAAGTCAACAGTTTTATAATCAAGATGTGTAGTTTCAGGTTGGGCTATCCTTGCTGGAAAAAAAAAATAATAAGAGCCGATTTTACAGAGTTAGAAGGTCAAAAGAAAAGGGAGAGAGAGAGGCATTTCTGTGTGCTATGATGGATGACCTGGGTTGAAAATACAATACCAATTAGCAGGCATGAAAAGAAACCATTTAAATCAACAATGTCTTCAGCAAGCTACCATCTGCTTCCTGTTAACCAGGCCTTCCTTTTTCAAATTGTCTTCCCTTGGTTTCCATGACCTTGTTCTCTCCTGCTTCTCCTTCTGGCTTATCATCATCATTTTCTTGGCCCGTATCTATGTTTCCCTAAGGATCATCTCTGTACTTCTCTTTCCATGACTTTTTCCCTGGCAATATCATGCCTTTACTTCATCCCTCAAAGCCTGCATCTGTGTCTCTAACCCTGATCTCCCTTGTTTCCATCCTGCTGGCTGGATGACTCTATTTCAACTCAGTATTTCCAAAGCTGAGATCATTTTTCTTCCTAAGATGGCTCTTTTCAAGTTTTCTTTTTTGGGGCCGGGTGGGGGGGGTGGTAAGGAGTTTTATTCTAATACCATGGGATCAGGGAACAGGCTGTATATCTACCAAAAACCCATTTCTTTAAACAAAGTTTTCATATAGTATTTATAGTAAAGCAGGCATTGTCTTATCTCAGCTATTGATTAATAATGACTATATGTCTTGTGACCATTATTCGGTTTCTTTCTTTCTTTCCTTTTTGAGTTGGGAGTCTCGCTCTGTTGCTCAGGCTGGAGTGCAGTGGCACGCTTACGGCCACTACAACCTCGACCTGCTGGGCTCAGGTGAGCCTTCCACCTTAGCCTTCAAAGTAGCTGGAACTACAGGCAATGTCATCAAGCCCAGCTAATTTTTTTTATTTATTGTAGAGATGAGGGCTCGCCAAGTTGCCTAGGCTGGTCTTGAACCCCTGGGCTCAGGCAGTCCTCTCACCTTGGTCTCCCAAAGTGCTGGGATTATAGATGTGAGCCACCCAGCCCAGTTTCTTTATTAATGAGTTTTTGGACCCTAAACAGTTACCGTGACAAACTGATGCTCAGATTACATCAATCCTGCCATTCTTTTTTTTTTTTTTTTAAAGATGTGGGGTACAATTCAGGATTAGGTATATAAGTAGTCATCGTACAGGTCAAGTTTGAGCCTCCCACTGATCCTCACTTTGGCATCAGGTACCCTTATTGATGTTATATGCCCCCTTCCTCCCCCAGGCAGTGTACTGCTACTGCCAATCTCTTTGACATAGTATTATGATAAATGTTCAGGATCCACTTAAGAGTGAGAACATGTGGTACTCAGTTCTTTGTTTCTGTGATAGATCACTGAGTGATAGAATCTAAATCCACCCAAGTTGCTGCAAAGTCCATAATTTTGTCCTTCTTTATGACTGCATAATATTCCATTGTGTATATGTACCACATTTTTTTATTCCAGTCCACTTTCAGTGGGCAGCACAGTTGGTTCCGTGTTTGTACTATTGTGGATAGTGCTATAATAAACATGCATGCACAGGTATCTTTTTATAGAATGATTTGAATTCCTCCAGGTATATTCCCAGAAGGGGGATTGCTGAATCATATGGAAGGTTGATTTTTAGATCTTTTAGAAATCTCCACATTGTTTTCCATAGAAGTTGTACTAATTTATATTCCCACCAACAGTGTAGAAGTATTCCCTTTTCTCCATGTCCTCTCCAGCATCTGTTGTTTTGAGTTATTAATGATGGCCATCCTGACTGGAGTTAGATGATATCTCAGTGTGGTTTTGATTTTCATTTCTTTGATGATTAGTGAGGCTGAGCTTTTTTCATGTATCTGTTGGCTGCTCGTATGTCTTCTTTTGAGAAGTATCTATTCATATTTCTTGCCCACTTTTTAATGTGGCTGTTTGTTTTTTTACTTTTGGCATGTTTGAGTTCATTGTAAATCCTGGATGTTAGGCCTTTGTCACATATACAATCGGGAAATATTTTTTCCTGGGCTGTCTGTGGGCTGTCTCCCTGCTCTCTTGATGGTTTCTTTTGCTTTGCAGAAGCTTTTCAGTTTGATGAGGTTCCACTTGTCTATCTTCTATCCACAACCCTACCATCTTCTCAGTCTTTTGGCCTCTAAATTTAACATAGTTCTCTGGCATTCTTCTCTCTGCCATCCCCCATCCTCCCCCCCGCCCCATACACACACATCTAGTCACATTGTAGAGTTTTTGAAATAGCATCTCCCATTTTCTTTTTTCGTATCAGACTTCCACCTTCAGCTTTTCAACTAAACTGTCTTCTCTCCTTCCACCCCCAACCCATTTCATCCCTCCTCACCTTTGTCACAAGAATCTTCCACAGCTCTGTTTAGGTTCTTCCAACTTGGTGTCCCTGATTAGTCTTCTTGTATAATAAAGCCCAGATTATTGGTGTAATATAAAATCTCCATGCTCAGATCTTAAACTGCTTTTTTAATCATTATATACTCAACTCCTGAGGAACCAAAAGAAAGTAGTATGCAGTGAAACGTTTTTCAGAATTCTATAATGTTTTGCTTTTCTCATGATACTTTTCTGTCACTCAGAACAGGGGTCAACCCTCAGGCAGCGGGCTGGTATCAGGTCCACAGCCTGTTAGGAACAAACTGTGCCGCAGGAGGTGAGTGGTGGTGAGTGGAGTTCCTTTTGCTGGCAGATCAGTGGCAGCATTAGATGCTCATAGGAGCGCAAATCCTACTGTGAACAGCACATGCAACAGATCTAGGTTCCACTTTCCTTGTGAGAATCTAATGCCTAATGAGCCCATCCTCCCTATACTCCATCTGTGGAAAAATTGTCTTCCACAAAACAAGTCCCTGATGCCAAAAAGACTGGGGACCACTGACTTAAAATAATTTATCTTGCATACTTTCTCTCTTTCTATGTTGGACCCATGTATGGTTTCTCACATATTTCTCTAATTATTTATTGAATGAATGATTGATCCTACCATAGAAACCCAATTCTTGTTTGACCCATACATTCAACCAGTATTTATTGAGCACCTTACTATGGGCCAAGTACTTAAAGGGATTTGGGGATATAACAGACAGTCTTGGCTTTTGTAGAACTTATGTTCTAGTAGGACTCCTGAAGATGTTTCCATTGGGTTGTTTATGGCTGAATGTATATTCAGGTATTAACATTGTACTATGCCTGAAGCAAAACTATCAGGCACTTCATTTAAGAAAATATTAAATACTGCTAGATGTGGTGGCTCATACCTGTAATCTCAGCATTTTGGGGGGCCGAGGCAGGAGGATTGCTTGAGCCCGGAATATAAAAACTGCCTAGGCAACACAGCCAGACCTCATCTTTACACATATTTTTTAAAAAATTATTATTAGTGGGCATAGTGGTACATGCCTGTAGTCCCAGCTACTTGGAAGTCTGAGGCAGAAGGATCACCTAAGCCCAGGAGGTCAAGACTCAGGTAAGTCATGACCATGCCACTGCACTCCAGCTGGGCAACAGAGTGAGACCCTGACTCAAAAAAAAAAAAAAACTGTATATATAAAATCAAATAATTTTACCCTGGTTGCCTGAAGGCTATGGGATTTACTTATTTAGTAAAGTGAGAAGTTTATTTTAGGAAAGAAAACAGGTGAGTTTACTCAGGATCTTCCTAAGGGGAGGAAACAGTTGGTGGGGAGGAAAAAGAGAGTGAGGCTATCAGGCTATTGAGGTCACCTCCAGTCTGTCATTTATTCTTGGCCAAGCAATTTCATGAAACTAACATAATGTGCTCTTGAATCTTATGCAGATGGCAATCAGGAGTTATTTCCCTGTGAAGTCTGTGGAAGGCGCTTTGCAGCAGATGTTCTGGTAAACATAAAGACATTTTGTAGATGTGTTTCATTGGCGTTAAATGAACTGTCAAGTCAGAGAGGAGGCGACGGTCCGAAGATTAAAGACAGATGTGGAGGGAAAACAAGGGAAGGGGAGAAGTACATAACCTATGGCTGGTGGGCCCAGAGGACTCTGAGCCAGATTGATGTTGCCTCATTCAAAAATGACCCTATTAAACGTGGTCCTCTTAAAAGGGTGCCAAATGGAAGTGTCTTGGCACAGTCAATGATCCCTTGAGAGGTTTTGGCTCTTCCGCCTTTTCTTTAAGCATCAAAAATTCAAATTTCAAGGCCAAAGCACCAGGGAAATTAGCTAGTCAAGAGGAATGAGCATTGAATTTCAGACATCTGGAAACTTGGCTTTTAGCCGTAAATTTGTCACTAATTCTGACAAGTCCTTTAACCTTCCTGTTTTCTGCTTTGCCACGTATACAGAACCTTCTGATTTCAGGGGTTTTATGCCATTTGAATGAAATAATACATGGATGTAAGGCTTGTTCCAAGATCAAATTGCTATCCTGATTCAAGCTAACTACTTGTCAAGTGTCCTGATTGATGGCTATAAAGTTGAATAAAGTTATTTCAAAATGAGGGAACCAAATAGTATGTTCTAATGTTATGAAGAGATTCCCAAGAAAGATGATTTTTAAAAACAATCTAAGATGATAATGCAGTTATTACTTGACATTTTAGATCAAGGAGACTTACAGAACTTAAAAGATTTGGACTATAAGCCTGACTACATTTGGGGCAAAGGGCTGCAAAATGAATTGTAGGTTTTATTTTTTAAAAATTTTAAAAACTAAAAGGGGAGCTCATAGAGCCTCTTGTGGTCCTGTAATCTACCAGTCTACTGCTATTGCCTTTGCCAACCCAGATTGCATCCCCTGAGAATCGATTTGAGACCTAGGAGACACCATGAGAAGACAGATCTCTAAATGTCAAACATGTCTTGAGTACCCTTGAGTTTCACTTCCTAAGCCTGTTTATAGGCTAGCAAGAGCATTTGATCGAGTGATATAATACCTCTATACACTTTAGTTTAAAATGGGATGGCTTGTTCTTAGCTAAGTACAGTGATTTTCATGGAGCTTGTATTTTGTTGGATCTAGACAAAACAACTGTGTAAATAAATGATAGCTATTATGTGTTACACATATACCAAGGAGAGGCCAAAGATACCATCATGGTGCAGTAAGAGTATAAACTTGCTGCACAGGGAAAGCTCTGTGTGTTGGTTCCTCAGTTTTTTTACCAGACGTATTGAGTACTAAAGACTAGTGGTTGAAGCAAAGAACATACTACCCATGTTTGAGTTAAATTTATGAATCCAAATTTGAAGTAAGTCTCTATGGCTGTAAAGGTCTTCTCTTGTCTTTGTCCAAACATGACATCTAGCCCTTTGTACTCAGAGACATCTCGCAGATCACTGACCAACAACTCAACTGTACTTTTTTACAAAACAGTGAAAAACAAATCACTTCATATTAAATAGTATGGCATTGGAACCTATTATTTTATTGTTATATTTGGCTTATAATGGAACTTTACAATTGGGGAACTTATTTATGAAACAAAAAATCAAAATTTTATATATTTTTCTTACATGTGGTAATGTGTGAAACAGTCACCGACATGCATTGCAGGTTCACTGATATACGTTGTGCAATAGTAATTTGTTTGACATCTTCCATCTGGTTTTTTTCTATTGAAGCAGACAACACAGTCTCATTTTCTTCTTCCCACATTAATAATATGCAATTTACTGTCCAGTCTGTTGTTTGAAGGTGATGTGGAAGGATGCAGTCATGATTCCCAAAAACCACTTCTCGACTGATCGATCAGAGCTTGAAAAATTTCAAATGGGACATAGGTTTTTCATTGTTTTTGAATGGAAAACTTCAAGGAAACATACATTTTTGAAAAATTAGCACTTGCATAAATTTGTCGTGTGTAAGCACCAGCAATCTTTTTAATTGTAATGTTTCATTTAAGTGTAATGTTCCCTGAGAGGGGACATTAGAGTGGTTTTCTAGATTTATGATGTCCCCTCTGAGGACAGAGGGCTACTTATGTGTAACATGGGTGAAGAGAGCCAGATGGATTTGCTCTGCTCTGCTGCAATCTGTTATAGTATGAACTAAACTCTGAGGTGCAACCTAGCCACTGTGGTGGGGGCTAAGTATACCTAGACTTTCAAAACTTTGTGATAATGAATTTAAAAAATTCGAATCCCTACCTTTTTCCAGGAAAGGCATGGACCTATATGTAAAAAGCTCTTCAACAAAAAGCGTAAACCTTTCAATTCTTTGAAGCAACGGTTACAAGGCACTGACATTCCAACTGTGAGGAAGACTCCTCACTCCAAGGTACTATTGATATCTTCTTTATTGTTCTTTACTACATTCTTAAGTATATTAAAGCCTATTTCTGGGCTTTCTGGTTTCATTTTTGCCTGACAGTAGAGTGTATGTATTATTTACCTTTGCTGTTTTCTAGTCTTACTTAGATTTCCAAATATATTTCAGATACTTTCCAGATGTGACAAAAAAGAATCTTGTTTATATTTTAATTAGAATGGCTTTAAATATAGCAATTAACTTGAGAAGAGAGTCGTTTTTAATTTTACATTTATCTTCCTTTAAAGTTTTGAAGTTAGGTTTTCTGATTTTTATTTTGTGTTTTCTGTCACTATTGTGACTTGCAAATTTTATTACTGTATTTTCCAAAACACCTTAAGTAGTTCTTTTGAAAAACAAATTATCCCTTTCCACAAATTTCACAGTCCTGTTCTCTGTATATTTAAGTCCCAGCTTTAAAAACGTTGTAATGGAGAGGTATATAGTCAAGAGCAGTGTTTATTGGTTTTATTTTTTTACAGTCTCAATCTATGAGGAAGTCTAACTGGAGACAACAACATGAAGATTTTATTAATGCTATTAGATCAGCAAAGCAGTGTACACTAGCCATCAAAGAAGGCCGACCTCTCCCACCTCCACCACCTCCATCTTTGAATCCAGGTGTGCGGACATTTTGGGTTGCTTTTGAGGCTTTTGACTTTTGACCAATTCATCATGCCTTCTGTGCACTCTAAAATTGACAATAAATATAGAATAAACAAAATATTAAAAATAAATAAAAATAATAAATATAAATTAAATAAATAAATATATAAATAAAATATTAAATTAAAAAATATAGAATACATAAATGAAATATAGAAGTAATTTTATCAGTTATACAAAAGTACATTTATCATATTCTATTTTCTTTTCAATTCTGCATTAAGATTCTATGATTTCTTTTAACTCTGTCTCAACAAGACAACACCACTGTACCCATGCCCCAGCATTATGCGACTCCAGGGAATACCATTTATGTCATGGCAGATGAGCATGGAACAGCAGAGCAGTCCAAGCAATTTTACATTAGCTCCATAGTGTTAAATATTCTCAACTCTCTCTTTTTCCTTTAGGTAGATTTCCCAAAGCATAAAATGCACTATTTTATCCATCTATAGTTGGACATGTAGTGGTCCACAACTTTTTGACTGCAAACTTTTTACTTTGAAAAATTTTAAACTTATAAAACAGAGGAAGGGGTAGTACAATGATCATCCATATGCCCTCCACTGAAACTTGACAATTGTTGACGTTGCCATATATATATATATATATATATATATATTTTTTTTTTTTTTTTTTAAGTTGGAGTCTCACTCCGTCACAGCTACCTCAGCATCAACCTACTGGGCTCTGGTGATCCTTCTGCCTCAGCCTTCTAAGTAGCCGGAACTACAGGTGCACGCTACCACACCCGGCTAATTTTTTATTTGTCATAGAGATGAGCTCTTGCCAAGTTGCCTGGGCTGGTCTTGAACCCACAGACTCAGGCAGTCCACTCACCTCGGCCTCCCAAAGTGCTGGGATTACTGGCTGAACCACCGAGCCCAGCCTGTTACCATATTTTCTTTCTCTCTTTTTCTAAAATTTTTTGGCAGAACCACTTAAATGCTCCAAACATTATTAACACTTTACTCTTCACTATTTCGTATGCATCTCTTAAGCAAAAGTTCATTTTTCTGCATAATCACAATACTATTATCACACTTAAATAGACTCATATTTTCCCATTTACCTTAAGAATGTCTATTAAAGTTCTCCCCTCATCCCCACCCAAGCCACAATCCAGGATCCAGTCAGACTTTACATACTGCCTTTTGTTGTCTCTTTAAATCTTATATAGCACCCCTACATTTATCTTTTGGAATGTCTCATGTTCTGTATTTGCCTACTTGTTTGGTCATATTAATAACGCATAAGAATTTTAAATTTTGGTGAAGTCCAGTGTATTTGATTTTTCCTTTGTCTCCTGTGCTTTTGATATCATATGTAAAATTCATCACCAAATCCAGTGTCATGAAGCTTGTCTTATGTTTTGCTTGTTTTAATTTTAGCTCTTACGTTTAGGTCTTTGATATGTTTTGAGTTTATTTTTGTGTGTGATGTTAGGAAGGTTCTAACTTCATTCTCTTGTATATATCCACATGGTTTTTCTTTTGTTTTTTGAGATAGGATCTCACTCTGTTGCCCAGAATGGAATGCAGTTGTTACTTGGGAGGTTAAGGCAGGAGAATCGCCTGAGCTCAGGAAGTTGAGGCTGGGATGAGTTGTGATCATGACACTGCACTTCAGCTTGGGCAACACAGTGAAACACTGACTCAAAAAAATTGTTTTTAAAGAAAGGAAATTAGTAAACTGTGCTTTATTAAAATTAAAAATTTCAGTTTTGAAAGACAACATTAAAAGAATGGAAAGAGGGGGTTTCTGGTTCAAGATTGCTCATTAGAAGCAGCTAGTGGGCAACTCTCTAGTGTAGAGAGACTGTAATAATAAATAGACACCAGCTCTTCAGGTGTATTGTCTGGGAGAGCACAGTGAAGTTCACCAGAGAAGCGATGGGAACCATGAAGAGCTGGAGAGAGGGATGCCAGGCAACCTGCAGAGCTAACTCCAATGCAGAACCAGGAGAGGATTCCTAACATGGGGAAGGGGTGAGTGAGTGAGAGAATCCCTGGGGTTCCACACCTTTCCCATGGACCTTTCCAACCCTAGTCATAACAGAACTTTCTCAACATGCCTGTTCTCCAGCCAGACTCAGGGAGTCACCTGGAGTCTGGACAGAGGCACTGCTCAATCCCATGTGGAACCCAATGAGCTTTTATTCCTTGAGCTGTCAGTCACTAGCTGCTGCCACCTTGCCAAGGAGGAAGACTGCATACTTTTGCTCACCCCCAGTATGTGTACCATAGCCACAGAAGGACAGAAACATCAGATAATGTGTTTCATGCCCCTACTTCCTCTGCTGCTCCCTGCCAAGGAAGGCTTATCTGCTTTGAAGATAGGCCCCTACTGTCTGAATATTTCAGTCGTGGCTTGACTCCTGGAGACTACCAGCTTCTAGAGGCACTGAAAGATCTCTCATAGCCTTTGCCACCACTGCCATTGTCTCTGCCATATGCAGGTGAGAGAAGAGAGGCAGGACACCTCCACAGCTCCTGGCCAGGTGAGGCTTCTCTGCTTCTATGGCAGGCCCCAATAGGAGTAGCTATAGCTAAGCCACCCTGTACCCACCTGAATACTGTAATGATGACTCAGCACTTCTCTGAGGGCCCAATTCTCAGAGGTGGTTGCTGTGCCCTTTCCAGCTGCTGTCTCCGCTGCCTCTGCCTCTGCTGCCTGTGGGTCAAGAAGGGAGTGGAGAGACAAGGCACTTCCATACATACCCAGGATGAATGTCTCAGACCCCTGCCCCCCACAAATTCCTGCCAGTTGGAGCTTACCTGCTTCCACAATAGGCCCCCCGGCAGCTGCCCCCTGCCCCACCCATGCCTGAACACTGTAGCTGTGACTCAGCACTCCTCTAACAGCCCAATTCCCAGAGGTCACTTTTCTGCCCTTCCCAGTTGCCACCGCTGCTGCCTTCATCCATGCCACTGGTGGGTCAGGGAGAGAATGCAGAAGTGGGGCAATAACAGAGCCAGTTGACTGTACACAACAGACACCATGGCCATGCCCAAAAGGGAAAAACGAAGAAAATCTCAAAAATCCTCATCCCAATGATAGCAAATTCAAAAATAAAAAAAAAGAATCAACTCCCCAAAATGAAAAGGAACCAGCAGAAGAACTCTAACAATACTGAAGACCAGAAAGTTTTACACCTACAAAGGATTGTACCAGCTCACCATTAATGGATCCTAACCAGAATGAAATGTCTAAAATGGTAGACATAGAATTTGGAATATGGATGACAAAGAACTCAATGAAGATCCAAGAGGAAGTAGACATCTTAAAGAAAGAAACCATAAAAATGATGAATAATTGAAAGAGGACATGGCCATTCTAAGAAAGAATCAAACTGACCTGGAATTGAAGAATTCAGTTCAGGAATCTCAAAATACTGTTACAAGCCTTACCAACAGACTAGACCAAGCAGAAGAAAGAATTTCTGAGCCTGAAGACAATCAACCCGGCTGAAGAAAAAATAATAAAAAAGTGAACAAAGCTTTTGAGAAATATGGGATTTTGTAAAAAGACCAAACCTACAACTGATTAGCATTGCTGAGAGAGAAAAAGAGAATGGAAACAACCTGAAAAAAGATTTGAGGATATAATCCAATAACATTTCCCCAAACTTTCTAGAGAGTTTGACATGCAGAAACAAGAAATTCAGAGAACTCCTGTGAGATTTTATGCAAGACAACCATCCTCAATGCACTTAGTTCATTAGACTGTCAAAGGTCAATGTGAAAAAAAAAACTTAAAGGCAGCTAGGGAGAAAGGCTAGACCATCTACCAAAGGATGGACCTCTTAGCAGAAAACTCATAAGCAAGAAAGATTGGGGGACCATTTTTAACACTCTTAAGGAAAAGAAACTCCAGCTGAGAATCTCTTATACTGCCAAACTAAGCTTCATAACCTAAGAAAAAATAATGTTTTCCTCACACAAACAATCACTAAAGGATTCATCACCACCAGATTGGCCCTATAAGCTATGATTAAGGGAGTCCTAAATATGGAAAAGAAAGAACAATACCTCCTACCACAACAGCACATGTAAGTACATAGTCCACAGACCCTATAAAGCAACCCTAAAACCAAAAACACAAAGCAATCAGCTAACAACATTGTAACAGAAACAAAGTCCCACACATCAATAGTAACTTTGAATGTTAATGACCTGCATGCCTCATTTAAAAGACATAGACTGTCGAATTGGATTTTTAAAAATAAGACTCATCCTTCTGCTGTTTTCTGGAGACCCATCTCACTTCTTATGACACCCATAGACTCAAGATAAAGGGATGAAGAAAGATCTGTCATGCAAATGGAAAACAAAAAAGAGCAGGGGTTGTTATTTATATATTAGATATAACAGACTTTAAAACAACAACAGTAAAAGAGGACAATGAAGGATATTACCTAATGACAAAAGAGTTCAATCCAACAAAAAGTTTTGACTATCCTAAACATTTATGGGAGCACCCAGATTTACTTTACCCAATTACTACTAGCCCTAAGAGAAGAATTAGATAGCCACACAATAATAGTGGGGGAACTTTAATTTCACACTAATAGATTTAGACAGATCATCAAGGCAGAAAACTAACAGAGAAATTTCAGGCTTAAATTTGACGTTTGCCAATTGGACCAATAGACATCAATATTCATCCCAACAACCACAAAATATACATTCTTCTTATCCACACATGGAGCATATTTTAAGATCGATCACATGCTCAGTCATAAAGCAGATCTTAGTATATTTTAAAAAAATCAAAATCATACTAAGTATCTTCTCTGACCATGGCAGAATAAAAATAGAAATCAACACCAAGAGGAACTCCCCAAATCACACAAATACATGGAAACTAAATTTGCTCCTGAATGACTTGTGAGAAAACAACAAAATCAAGACAAAAATAAAGTCTTTGAACAAATGAAAATAGAGACACAAGAC